CATAACTATGTTCCCCACTTGAAAAAGGACAACTGCATGAAAAAATATGTAGGCGAGCGGAGCGTGGATGAATAAAACGCAGCATAGTTATACTTGTATACTTTAATATCTACAAAAGTTTTAACCTTGAGAGTGTTCAAACGAGCAAGAAATATGAAACTTTTATTTTGTTCAAAGTGTGCTGCGAGGTGTTCGACAGCATTAAAACATATAACTGCAAAAAAGAATGACTTATTTCCGGGTTTCTACTGCTGCGGGTTATTTTGTAGATTATTAACAAAAACTGATTAATATATTAATCGTAACAATAATAGACAGATTAATCGATTATGAAAAGCTCGGATGAATCTATTTCAGGAACTAGCAGAATGCCACATCAGAGTCTTATTTCCTGATATTTGGACATCTCGCTTTGAATTTGGATAACAGTAACACGACACCACTGACTCTGTTTGCCCTGCGACATGGATGTTTTATCTCCACAAATAACTCAAGCATGGAGGTGTTCTGCTATGCCTTCAGGTTGCTAATGCTAACAGTTAGCTTCTATTAGCCGAGACGTTCTCTGTCGATTCCTAGATGCTAAAATAACAACAACTAGGGCTGCAACAAACGATTATTTGGATAATCGATTAATCGGATTGGGTCTCGACACGATTAATCGATTAATCGGATTACATGGGGAAATTTTTAAAAACTGCTAGGGAAACGTTATTTCTCTCCTTCCTTCACTTTACTTAACACAACATTATTAGAAAACAGTTCAATAGCAGAAAAACAACATGCCATCACCTAAATTGTCTTATAAGGTGTATAGACAGAGACCCTAAGCTACATCTATCTGTGACCTAAAATGCTTGGTCCAAGTTAAACAGCTTAAGGGCAATTCTCATCTGTTTTGTTTGATCTCATCTGTTGACATTTATTTTAAATGTAATTAAACATAGGCTGTGAATTAATCAAAATTGATCACTATTTCCAAAAATGACTGAAAAAATACCAAATAAAACAAAAGTAAATGAATGCCATCCTCCTTGCGATGATGCCCTGGGCAACTGCCATAAAGTCACATCAAGAAATGCTGCTGATCATTCCAATGATCCCAAATAGACTCACATTAGGCCACATGAAAGCAACTGAACCCAAAAATATATTAACCAGTATATACAGGTGCTGGCCAGTAAATTAGAATATCATCAAAAGGTTGAAAATATTTCAGTAATTCCATTCAAAACGTGAAACTTGTACATTATATTCATGCAATGCACACAGACCAATGTATTTCCAATGTTCATTACATTTAAATTTGATATTCATAAGTGACAACTAATGAAAACTCCAAATTTGGTATCTCAAAAAATTAGAATATTCTGAAAAGGTTGAATATAGAAGACACCTGCTGCCACTCTAATCAGCTGATTTACTCAAAACACCTGCAAAGGCCTTTAAAAGGTCCCTCAGTCTTGTTTTGAAGGCACCACAATCATGGGGAAGACTTCTGACTTAACAGCTGTCCAAAAGACAATCATTGACACCTTGCACAAGGAGGGCAAGACACAAAAGGTGATTGCTAAAGAAGCTGGCTGTTCGCAGAGCTCTGTGTCCAAGCACATTAACAGACAGGCGAAGGGACGGAAAAAATGTGGTAGAAAAAAGTGTACAAGCTCTAGGGATAACCGCACCCTGCAGAGAATTGTGACGACAAACCCATTCAAAAATGTGGGGGAGATCCACAAAGAGTGGACTGCAGCTGGAGTCAGCGCTTCAAGAACCACCACGAGGAGACTCATGAAAGACATGGGATTCAGGTGTCGCATTCCGTGTGTCAAGCCACTCTTGAACAAGAAACAGCGCAAGAAGCGTCTCGCCTGGGCCAAGGACAAAAAGGACTGGACTGATGCTGAGTGGTCCAAAGTTATGTTTTCTGATGAAAGCAAGTTCTGCATTTCCTTTGGAAATCAAGGACCCAGAGTCTGGAGGAAGAGCGGAGAAGCACAGAATCCACGTTGCATGAGGTCCAGTGTAAAGTTTCCACCGTCAGTGATGGTGTGGGGTGCCATGTCATCTGCCGGTGTTGGCCCACTCTGTTTCCTGAGGTCCAGGGTCAATGCAGCCGTCTACCAGGAAGTTTTAGAGCACTTCATGCTTCCTGCTGCTGACCAACTTTATGGGGATGCAGACTTCACCTTTCAACAGGACTTGGCACCTGCACACAATGCCAAAACCACCAGCACCTGGTTAAAGGACCATGGTATCCCTGTCCTTGATTGGCCAGCAAACTCGCCTGACCTTAACCCCATAGAAAATCTATGGGGTATTGTGAAGCGGAGGATGCAATACGCTAGACCCAACAATGCAGAGGAGCTGAAGACGACTATCAGAGCAACCTGGGCTCTCATAACACCTGAGCAGTGCCACAGACTGATCGAGTCCATGCCACGCCGCATTACTGCAGTTATTGAGGCAAAAGGAGCCCCGACTAAGTATTGAGTGCTATACATGCACATTCTTTTCATGTTCATTCTTTTCAGTTGGCCAACATTAGAGAAACAAACATTTTTTCATTGGCCTTTAGAATATTCTATTTTCTGAGATACCAGATTTGATGTTTTCATTGGTTGTCACCTATAAATATCAAAATTAAACGTAATAAACATCGGAAATACATTGGTCTGTGTGCATTGCATGAATATAATGTACAAGTTTCACGTTTTGAATGGAATTACTGAAATATTTTCAACCTTTTGATGATATTCTAATTTACTGGCCAGCACCTGTAACTGCACTCTCACACAACACGCCTGCAGCAACAGTTAGGACTCCTCCCTCCCTTTTAAAAGCGTTTTTGCTTCTGAGGACATTGTGGTTGTAAAATCACATGCTAGTAGTCTGGCCCCGGTGTGATCAACCAGTTTCTGCGGGAATGTGATGGCGGAACCAGTGCCAGATTAACACTTTGTTGTACCCTGGGCAACAATATTCAAGGGCTCCATCATCACAACCCAAGGATCACCATAATGTGGTCACATACAGAATATTTTACTGTAATATGCAGTAAATATACTCAATACTTGAATGCCTGACAACACGTAACCCGCCCAGAGTAACCTTTGACCCACCTCGTGTGGACTGACCAATGAGGAGAGGGTCTTAACTTGAGGCCCTCTCTTCATTGGTCAGTCTGCATGAGACTGACTCTCAACTGACGTTCAGTCGTAGGCAGCGAAGCGTCTCTGTGCAGTGCAAAAGCCCGGGTGGACAGTTTGTTTAATGTAGGGTGACCATATTTCCATTTCCAAACAAGAGGACAGGGGATCTGTGCCTATGACGTCACACTATGGCAACGCCACACAAACCATGTTGGGACCCATATTTTGTAAGAACTAAATTAATATCAGATTCTGCCAATTAAAGGGCTCTAAAACAATTCATATGTAAATATTTTGCATATTTAATGCAAATTCTAATTTTTCTGCTTTAGTGCTGCAACAAGGTTTTATTAATAATAAATTATTATACCTTTTGTTTTACTACAGCATCGGTAAGCTTCCTGTGCACAGATTATTAAGGATGCTTGTTTCAGCTGTGAGATTAGACGATAGGATCAATGAAAAAATAAGTTGTCACACACTCCATGGAAACTTTCAGAGAATCCACAAATAGTGGCTTTCAAATGGTTTTGTTACTTTTTGCAAGTTTAGAAAAGAAGCTGATGAGACAGCATGTCTGATAATTTAGTTTTTCATCTGATAATATTAGAACATGTCAGTAATGTCTGAGGGGCTTTTATAAACACCATATAACTAACACTACTGGAGAGGGCATGAATTACACAGAGGCTTCTGGGGAGCCCAGTTATTGGGGGGGCATTTTGCCTTGGCCCCCAAAATGTCTTGAAACGGCCCTGGGTGTGTGACTGAGTTTTGAAGGTGATCTGAATTGTATCAGATGTATAAATATGACATGTGTAGAACTTATTGTTTTTTACAGGTAAAAACGTGTAGTGGTGATAAATCTACCTACATTTTACTTTTCAACACTTTGTTTTGTTTTCTTGTTTTTATTCAACTATATTTTCCTGTCCTGTCTGTCTCTCATCTTCCTGCATCTCCTCTTAATTCTCCAGAAAATCTGTTGCCTGGATTCTTACCTTTTCACCTCATCAGTTACTTTTGAGCAGATCAAAGGGATCTCCTGACCGAAAAGCGCAGAGCGCGTTTTCGATGCTGCGTGAGGTGACATCACCACAGCACAGGTGATGAGCTCCGCAGTAGCGAGCTTCAGGCACAAATAAGACAGAAAATAGAGAACATGTGCGGACATGAACGATCGTGTGCTAATTATAGTTTTTTGGTTGCGCCACTTTGAGAATGGACCGTGCGCTGGAAGCAGCAGCCTGGATCGCTGTGCAACAATGCGGAACCGGTTCGCAGCAGCGCAAGTCTGCCGGCTCTCCCTTGCGCTGATCTGCCGCTACCGGTTCTCCCTCACACTGATCTGCCGGCTCTCCCTCGCGCTGATCTGCGGCTCTCCCTCGCGCTGATCTGACTTGCTCTGGTCTGCGCGCAATGGCGGGCGGGAAGGGGGGGGGCGCTTTTGGAAGAGTTGTGCGACACAACGAATCGATGACGCAATTCGTTGCCAACGCTTTTAGTAATCGATTTTCATCGAATTTATCGATTCGTTGTTGCAGCCCTAACAACAACCTTTCCCATTGTGGATCAAAATGGGTGAGTCCATGAGTTTTACTGTCTGTTTTCTATCAAAAGCTAATGTAGGAGATAGATGTAGAAGATTGTTTTCCTGTTCAACCTGCATGAAAAACTCAGAGTGATCAATTATATCCAGAAATAATCATAAAAAATGTTTTCAGTTTTCCACAAATCTCACAAATTAAAAGTCAAAGTAAGTCTTTCAGATATTCACCTGAATAAAAATGACAAATCTGTTTGCATCATCTAAACTATATGGACATAGCTTAAGGCACATTGTGCTTCTACCTGTCGACCTGGAGTTGAGGTCTTCATGGCACAGATGCCATCATCATTTGAAGAATCACTCTCAGAGATGGAGATGACGACTGGGCTGGAGTCAATCACAATAACCTCTTCAAAGGCAGATGATGACAGCTTCAGACCTTTGGAGACAGTTTGTCTCTTCTTCTGTTTCACAACTTTTTTTTTCTTCAGGTGTTGCTGGTAACTGTGATCATCAGGTGATGGAGGCTTGCTGTCTTTGGGAAATTCCGGTTTTCCGTCACCGTCTTTGGTCTTCTCGAGCAGTTGCTGGTCCTCCAAAATCTTCTCTTCATCATCCTCCAGCTCCAGAGCATTGGAGGAGTAGTGAAGCTGGCTGTAGAGGTGGAACTCCAGTTCACTGTTGATCTCCGACACTTCAGAGTCTCCTCCATCCTCTCGGTAGAGATCATCTTCTAACATCTTGAAGTCTTGGATGGAGCTATACATTTACCCCAAAGACCACACATTCGCTTTGCTCACAGCAGAGGAGTCGGTGGCATCCAGAGGCTGACTGTATCAATAAAAAAAACATTAGTTTCTTTAGTTTTGTCATTTTAAGCATTTTACAAAGTAGTTGCTTCATATTTTTTCCCTCTCTGTGTTAAAACTATTATAACTAGAATGTAAATAAGTACCATTTTATATATGTGACACTGCTGCTAATGATAAACCAGAGGATAAATATATAAAACAAAAACAAAAAAAAACATACATTAAACATGAGCAGGTTTAAAAGTTTTAGCTGCCTTTTAAATTAATCTACTGAGCTGTAACTATTAGTGACAAACAGCAACAAGTACTGATGGATGAGATCCCAAAATGTCAGAAAACATTTTAGAAGACTCTAATGTATCTTACGAGTCACAGGTCTCTTTTAAGTTGGGGTAATTTTTAACATTCAAACAAATCGTGTCAAAAGTTCATTTCAAAATTGTCGAACCTGATTCCAGTGTGATAAATGTTAGACAACTTGAGGAGAGGTGGCAAAACAATTGTGAAAATACTGAGTGTAAAAAAGATGCATTGTGAGAAACTTGTACCAAAGAAACATGTAGAAAAGTTGCTAATTGTTTGCAATTATGTCATGAAACCCAAATGTTGAAGGCTTCATCATAGTTTGAGGCCTAATAAAAACATTCTAGAACATGTTGTGTTGCTGTCTATTTGTAGACCAGCGAAGTGTTTGCTTTAAATCTTTTTCTAAAGTCAACTACACGGTGATATTTTAATTCAAATAGTTTTGTGCTACAAATGAGTGAACTTTTTCTCAAAATTGAAAGGCATTAACTGAATTTCTATCTTCCAAAGTGCATTTTATTTCCACTGCACATCTTATTTTAAATACTGGTCACCTAAATGCTTCAGAAAGGCACTAAATAATTAAATATTCCAGCTTTTTGCAATCAGATGGTGAACAAAGTTGAATTTGCCCCTATTTAAAATCAGAGGCTTGGTATTTGTTGAAGTAAAAGTTTAACGGGTTGCTGGTGACGTTTCTCATGATCATGTACGTTTCAGACAATAATAATAATAATAATAAGAGTAAGACGTATCTCCAGCTTTCATGATGCATTTCACTTTTGCTCTAGAGTTCTTCATCTCGACAGAACAATAGATCAGAGATGAATTCAGGCCAAGATCAATTACTAGACACTTACTTTTTGTTCTCAAAACCATAAGACCTTGTTAGCAAAGTTGAGAGAGCATGACTCATGTGCAGTACGACTTGAACCTGCAGTTTTTTCCATCAGGACCGTGCTGATAGGAAACAATAGTGAACCGAGGCTTATCGCCTGGCAGGTGATGGTTTCAACAACATCTAAAGACAAAACTCAGCCTAGAACAACTATGTTAGAAACTGGTAAATCTACTCACTGCACTCTATAAAACACTGCGTTGTTAATTTTCTAAATCCGTCTTTCTCTGCCTCACACACACACACACACACACACACACACACACACACACAAGGACATGGAAGGAGCACCGGCCCATTGCTCTGTCCAGTCCTGCGTGTCTGTGCCATGATGGCTGGAGATGATTGGCCCCCTGGCCGTGCACGCTGCATAAACGCCACGCTACATGGTCACAAGCCGACCACTGGGGATTAGAGGGACAGAAAGTAGAGTCTTAAAGCCTGGTGAGGGGCAACAGTTATGTGTTCAAAGTATGGAAGCACACAGGAACAAGGAGGTGACAAATGACCGATGGTTCTTTGCTGAGGTGGGATTTAACATGTTCTTAAGCAGCAGAACAGTCACAATCCATCGACAATGGTGACTGGTTTTATTTAATCTATCTAATTAAAGCTCCACTCAGCTCAGAGCCACTGTAAGTGCTGTATTATTATAGAAAAAGACAACTCTCTTTTTACAAGACTAAAACAGTTTCCTCACAAATTAAAATGAAAATAGTCATAGGAATAAATAATCAACCATGTTAACTGTACTGCTGCTCTTCAACAACACAGCCTGTCCAAACCTGTCCTTTTACCATCAGAGGGAACAACAGTTTCAATTAATTCCTGGGTCCAATAAAGTCAGTAACTCCAGCTGTGATGTAAACACGACACTAGGGTGGCCAATTCTCTAGCATTAAAGACAAAACACTCCAACTAGCTCAACTCAGACAAAATTCTGGAAGTCACTAAAAAGTGCTAAACATTCATTCTATTGCTGCTAAGACTGGTAACATTTAAAATAAGGACATAAAGAAACAACCGGAAGACATTATTGGTGGTTTCAAGGACAGTGTGTCGCTGAATTAAGATGAAATGTGTAACCGCTTCACTTGCAGTCACAAAGTGTACATGTACAGATTGCTCAAGACGATCTCTAAGATAACAGAGAAACACAGCGAAGGCGAAAATGCGTCACACCAAACCGCATTTGATTTAGCTAATACCATCTCTGACGGTAAACACCGACTGGCTAACGAACTAGCATGCTCGTTCATCAACAAAACTATTACTCCTGTAAAATATTTCGTCAAATTCACACAAGCACACTGGAAGCAGATACTCCATCACTGAGAGGTGACGGTTGTAGATTTTCGTTCACAGGTCGGCTAATGCTGTTAGCAAGTGAACTGCTGCGTGTGCACGTGCACGTGTCTACAAGTAGCCGGTCGGATGTAAACAATGACGTACTTCAATCTCAAACACGAAATAAAAGAAAACACGCCTTTGACATAGTATCAATTAAAGCGACTTCTCAGTGTGCCTCAATTTATGAGTCGTTAGGCACAAACTTACCTTTATCAATGAAATTAAGTATTCCCAGCTTCTCATCTGTTTCCAGACCGGAGAAGGCAAACTACTTCCGGGTTTGTCCGCCCAAAATTAGGTGACCGACAGTGAAGTTTCCCTACGCACTACCTAGAGAGGAGAAAGCTAGTTTTATAAATAAATAAATAAATGTTATATATATATATATATATATATATATATATATATATATATATATATATATATATATATATATATATATATATATATATATATATATATATATATATGTCGTGCCTGTAGCTGGTGCAAAAGGCTGCAAGCATTTTTGTTATTCATTATCCCACAAATGAGAAATTAAGAATTACATAGTTTATAGTGAAAAGGAAAGTAAAATAAAGAAAGAAGACACAAATTGCTCTATATACATTGCAATCAAACAAGCAAAATACTGTATGTACAGAGAATGCACAAAAAGGTATAAATATGCATAGAGATATGTACTCAAGGGTGAATGATCCTTGTGACTTATATAATGTACTTTCAAGCTGCAAATTAGTAACAGCAGTTTAATTGACAATTTGTCAGTTAGACAAGTGATGCTGACCCTCTTGACCATTTTGTTAAGTTTCCCCTGTGTACCTGTCTGTCATTTTTTTCACACCAGCACCTACCACACAACACAAAAGATAACAGATGCTACTACAGTGTCACAGAAGGTCCTTAAAAGAGACCTGCTCTCCACAGATGATCTAAGCTGCTTTAGCAGGTGAAGATGCCTTAGACTGTTTTTGTAGAGCACATTTGCATTCATTGACCAGTCCAGTCTGTTGTGGATGAGAACACCAGGTATTTGTACACCTTCAATCCAGACCCATGCACAAGGGTCCTCAGATAAATTTGTTCAAGGGTGGGAGTCTTTTCCTGCAGACACCTTGAGAGCCAGCTGCTCTTCTAAAATAAAGTTCAAGTATTATTGTATCTTAATTTGTTTATATTTAAAATGGCTTTGTTTTCCATCTAAACTGTTTTGATAGTAATTTTTGCGGCTAAATTTCAACGTCTCCCAATTGTGCCAGCTTCCCACTTGGCACTGAGAGAGACATCAAAAAACATAACTCTCACAGTCAAATCAGTTTCCCTCTGGGGTTAATAAAGTGTTTTTGAATTTTGAATTTTGAATTTTGAATTGAATTGAATTGAACTGAATTGAGTGCTCCTGGCACTTTCCAGGTGAGAGAAGGCTCAATGCAGCAGATCTCCATCCACCGCAATGTTTAGCTAGTAGGCAAACTACAGTGTATCTCAATCCACTGACTAATGTGCGAAGGTGATGAAGTATGATCATCTCCATGGTCTACATCAGGTGTGAAGTCAGGGCAATGGTTCTGAAGTGGTTTGGCTCATTAGGGTGTGTTGTTTTTGGTACCGGCACCATATCTTTCACAGAATGAGGACCCTCTCCAGACTGAGACTGAGAAAAAATATATATGTGAAATAGATATTTTTAAAAAAAGCCTTTGGAGTACTTTGTAGGTCCCTGTATTGGAAAACAGTCAAACACACTTTTAGTATTTGGCAGCTATTCATTGTACTCAGATTACTCAAAAATTACAATTTTAGGCACTGATTTTAAAATGTATGAATGTCTTCAGCCGCTTCCTTTTCAATGTCTTACCGCAGACAAGAGATGACAGCTCTGTTACCTACAAAGACCATTCCCTTTTTCATCAGTAAGGCACAAATATTATAAAGTGTCAAAAAACGTGCTTGTGTTAGAGACTTCCACAGACCTCCAGGCTCATTATGAGTTGATAGGAATGTAAATCTAAATGTAAATGTAATTCTACAGCCTGCCTGTCGCCATCAGTCATATTTAGAAGGCACTGAATACAGCAAAATCATGCAATTCTGGTTCTCATGCAGAGAGTGTTGCATTTACATCCATCTTTCCCTTCATTCTGTATCCTAATGGTGAACTCTGTATAACTGACGCTGTTAGAATGAGAATAAGGAAATGGCAATATGATAAGGAATGCCATCTGATCCCAAAGGTTTCTCCATGCGTGTCACCACAGAAAAGGCCATCACAGAGTTGGGTTGTTGCCTCCCAAACGGTAGACTCAACCTCACGCGACAGCATCTCTCAAGTCTACTACACAAGTGTTTTCCTGCTACTGTTTTGTTTTCTGGAACCCTCCTCCTTCCCTATTCCCTATTTTGCTCCAAATTGATGCAGGTTGGGAATGCCTCACTGCCTCAATGAGATTGTGGTGTGCCTGCCTTATTTGGGGATCCATGCATTTGTTGGTATTTACTATTCTTATTTCAAAAATGGAAGCAACTGGCTGAATGGAGGCATCTGGTTCAGTGGTTCATCTCCAGGCCAGTGGTGCCCAGACTAGTGGTGTGTTGAAGATGAATGGAGTGTCCAGGACCGGGATTTAAAGTCCCTCAATTTCCAATCACACATTCCAGAGGGGATGGTTCTGCCTGATGAGTGATCTTTATTGAGAGGAGGGAGTTAAAAGAAGCATGTCATTGCTCTCATTTGGTGGCATCCGAATGTGCCGTCTTGGTTCAGTCTTCCATTTTGCGACAACACTTTGTTCCAAATCTTTTATCAAGAGAGATTTTTGTATTCAGTCAGTCATTTATTGGTAAAGCTGATGGTCATTTATGTGCAGAAAGACTGCCTTGTGGTTTAAAAAAAGCTAAATTCTCATCTCTCTTCTAGTTGATGAGATGTCTGGATTTGACATAAAAATGTAAAAATAAAAATAAACTGTTTTAGGTCCGTTTTTAAAATTTTGTTTTCTAAATAATTTGGGCAATTATCAGCAGTCTGCTTAAATAGAAATAAGTTTTACATTTAATAGGGATTTAAACACTTTTACTGTGTTAGCCAGACTAAAAGGGCAAATAGAAAAGAAAACAGCGGCTGTAGGAATCGGCTGGTAGAGTCAGATCCTCTGAGTTCTGTTACAAACGTTCTGTATTCTGTCCAATCAATCCAACATATTGACATCATATAATCAATAAACCACAACAAACCCTGTGAAAAACAAAGAACCTGACCCGGGTCACTGTTTGTGAACAAAAAATGCCACTATCCATCACCCGAGCGTGTCTGAATCCTTTTCAGGAACAACTGTATTTCACTGCAGTGCGAGTTTTATTTGTTTCCGTCACTGACTATCGACATTAAATTTTCATTAATTCTAACAGGAATGGCAGCTTCAAGTAGCTTCACAGGATCAGACAGTGGCAGCGAATTAGTGAGAGATTTGATAGATTCTGGAGTTAATATCCCACGTAGAGCATCTATTTAATCAGGTGTAAGAGTCACAAGCAGGAGGAGACAAACGATGAAACACAACTGCTGAGAAAAGAGACTCTGGAAGAGAATCTTTAAGCCTTTGCTCTTTTCTCCCTCATGTTTAAATCAGACCTTCTTGACCTCTTCGGTGTTTCTCAGCTGCACGTTGGTTAAATTCAATGTAATGAAACTCAATCAGTAATATATTTATTATTCATCTATTAAAGGGACTTTTTCATTTTGGTGCAAAAGAAAAAAAAACATGAAAAATGTGTGACTAAGTTCTTTTTAACTGCTACAATCTTCCGTGTTTGACATGTTTTTTTAGTAAACCGGTGGATGGTTATAAAGATGTAAAGCACAAGGAATTAAGGGATGTGTCACTATTTTTATCTAACTACAAAAACAGCTTTTGTTTTAATTCAGTCACCGGCCAGAAAAGTAGATGATTTAACACTTTGAGCTTTCTGGATGCTTTTTAATCCAAATGTGATGCACTTTGAGTACAGGAGACATACAAGACCAACTTTATCCTGAAGAGCTGCAATAAAACAATTTGTTCCAGCATCTCTTCCAGTAAAACCAAGTGACTTGTGATTACAGGGATTATATTTGCAGACAGGAGTTCAACACACACACACACACACACACACAAACAGAGAGAGAGAGAGAGAATCAGCGCATACATTTCATCACCAGGATGCCACGCCACAGCAGCTTTTTTTCAGTGGTGACTAGGAAACCACATTGACAGGAAACTTGTCCGCTCTTGTCCAATTGTCACGCTGAAATGTTTACCTTTACATACAGATGGTCCCGAGGTCATGTTGTGTCACAAAATGTTTCATGGACAAATAATGTGACACATTTCTCAATCCATCCTGCAGCCCTTAAGCCTCCTGGGCACTATAGAAGCAACAACAGGCAGGAAGCTGTAAAAAAGGCAACCTTGTGTTGCCACGCTGAAGTGCCACTCTGAATTAAATCCAGAGGATAGAGAGGTAAGCTCGGCCCGCTCCGAGGCTCTGAGTGATTGGAAGGCAAAGACAACAGCATGAGCAGCAGAGATTTTTTTTTTCATCAAGGCAGAGAGGTTTGTCTGTCTTAGCATGAGGAAATGTGATGCATAATTGGATCAAAATAGCATTATGTCAAATCCAGTGAAGTCTCTGTGAAACAGTGGAGAGGTTTACACTGCAAACGTCAAGACACGGAGTAGAAACACAAAACAAGAAGTATACGTTTATTTAGATAAGGGTTGCAAAAGAATAGTAAAAGTTCTGCAGCACAAAGTTTGAGACAGAAATTAAAAAAATAATAATTAGAGGAAGAGGAAATATTTCTGGAATTTCTGGACCTGAAACCTCATGATCTGTTCATTTTCAGTCAAATGTTTTTAGAAATGCTTCAGTAATTAGGGTCTTAAATTCATGTAGCTTCATGTGAGTGTTGCTGACTCTGCAGATCATCAAAACTGTGTAACAAATATTTGCTTTTATTCTAATTAAATTATAGCGAAAACAGTATTTTTTTTTGCATTTTTCCTGATCATTTTCTGACACTATTCTTTTTATTTTATTCATTACATGTTTTTATTGAAGAGTTTGCAGATTATTCCTAACATGTAAGCTCTGTAGCACAGAGTCTGAGACAGAAATGAAAAATGTGAGGGACAAGGAATAATGTTA